AGGTATCACCTGAAATAAATTTCCTTTCTATTGACCGCTTACCAAAGGAACTGGAGCAACTTCCCCAATAACGGGAGCACGTTCACGAATACGCGATTCGCACGCTATCTGTACGATAGAGTGGTTGCATGAATAATGAATGCGGCGTGCGGTGCATTACGTAGCACGCGTTGTTGCATACTTTCTCTCTTCGCAATAAACGTTTTTCCGTAATAAACGTGTTTCCTCGGACATGGCCGTGTCCACTGCACGTGTGCTACTACGACCAATCTTGACGCGCTCTGTCACTTTGATATTTAATATAACTTAACCGCGATATTAAAATGACAGTTTCTCTCATAATAATGATTAATTAGTCATCACTTATAGCTTCTTCTCAAGTCAAACTTGTGTACAATTAAATGATGGGTGACTATTCAGTTTTTATCTAAATGTTATTTATATTTAATTAATTATTTACTTATGAGTTAATATTGCAGATATTATATTATTATAAATATTATATAAATAATATTGATAATTACGTGTAAAGTTTTTTATAAATTTATGTATTTTTTTTTGCTTGATCTGTGTTTTGGTATTTACACATGATCTAAATTTTTTTATATCATGTATTTTATAAAAATATAAGTGTAAATTTATTATGTAAAAGTATGTAAATAAGGCAGTGACGTATATATAATATGTTTAATATTGTCTATTAATTTCTACTGTAAGAGTAACACATTTTTCTACAAATAAGAAGAACGTATCCTTTTTTAATCTCTGTATTTGGTACATAACTTCAAATATATTTATAAAAAAATGAGCCATTGAAAAGTACACGATGAAACTTGAGTATATGCCATCTTCTCAGTTAAAAGAGAGTTTCGCGAAACGGAAGTAGAAGTAAACGTTCTTCGTAACTACCTTGAGGAAGTGCTTCTACGTAAACAGAGCTTCGTAATAGCTATAGTTTACTTACCTTGCAGGTAAGATTCATGCTAATTCTGCTCATATCTATTAATATATGCTCTATATCTATTAATAATAATTATTAATTGTTTTGTTCGTATTAATCCGATCGCAACCAAACGATCGATTGTACGAGAAAGGTAGATTTCACTTTGCGCAAGGTGGAAATAACGGAACGGCGTTATGAAATCTCTAGAATTTTATTTTCATTTGTAAAAATTAAGTTTTATCAAATGACGCAAATAGAATGATTTTAGAACGGATCAAAAGATTTAGAGTTACTATTCTTATATAGCTTTAACATTATTATTTTGATATAATATATAACTAAATTGGATATTTTTATATAATTTGATTTTTATATAATTTGATAAAAATATAATTTTATGCATTATTATATATTATGTATTATTTAATATCTTAAATTTTTTATTATTTTCTTTTATTCTATATTATTTCGTATTTTAAATTTTGTATTATATTTTGTATGTATTTAGTTTGCTTTAAATTATACGTTAAATATTATTTACAAGAAAACGACTTCTAATATAATTCATGACACGAGCGTGAGAAGGGAAGTGTAAATAACATTATTGATTTACGATTAGTCAGCACTGAATTCTAAACGAATTGAAAGGAAAACGATAATATCGATCACAAATTTCAAGATAGAAATTACAATTTGTCCGTGAAACAAATATTATCTTTACAAATTGTAATGATAATATTAACATTTCGTAGTTGCAGAAAAACTGTAACAATGCATAAATGTGTAATTAAATCATTGAATAGCCCAATTAATGTCTAATTATTTTTAATTTTTATAATAAAGATTATAGAGTTATGGAAGTTATAAGAATAAAAAAAGTAGAAATATATAAAAATTGTATTAAATGTTGCATTTAAAATTATGTATGTATTACATATTAAATAACTAAGAATAATTTTGCGTTTAATTTATAAAAAAATTGTAAACAGATCGATAAAATAATATAAATAATAAAAGAGATTAATTTCTTTTTGCGGCATGTTTAGATTTTTGTATATCATATTAAGTGACACCTTATGATTTCTTGAAATTAACATATACATTCTTTCCACGAATTTACAATTAAAAAAAGTCTACGCTTGTACATTAATACTTTTCATTCCCAGTAGAATTTTTCAATTTGTTGTCTGCGACACGTGCATGAACTATTATACTCGATGATACCGAAAGGGTTGAAGGCTCGGCATCGATGGTCGGAAGATACCGGGTGTCATCTGTTTCTCGCAAGCGCATTTTGCGTGGGTGTTATCGCGAACGGTCGGATGGGAAAATTGACGTTCGGTCGTCGTTGTTACTGGTTTCGACGACGAGGTTCTACCACGAGAGCCACTGGGAAAATGTGAACGTATGGACACCCGACGTTGTCTGTCCGACTCGACTCGGTGTTCAGTGTCGTCAGTTCGATCCGGTCAGTGGGCCATTCAGCATGAATAACGAGCGCAGTAAGTTATATATATATATATATTTATTATACACTAGTCCGTCTAGCTGACTTTCCTTTTCCGGTGTATCATATATACGTATATAATTCGCTAATGTGTTCTCGCAGACGGCGATATTTTATCAAACTTGAAGTCAAGAAAACTTTCTGCACTTTTTTATGTTGTTCAGTTCTTATTAACATACCCGTTTTTCTCGTTTCTATAAATTACGATTGCTGACACAATATACTGATAATAATAATACTAGTATAGTAATCACAATGTAACTGTATTATATTTTTTGTCATTGTTAATAATAATTGTTTCTTTTTTTAGCTGCACCCCCTTATATATCATTTGTATTAAGAAATGAACCTGATTACTGGAGATTTATTATTTTAAGTAAAAAGAATGCAAAGAAAATGCAAATATAAAAAAATACACATAAAGAAAAAAATAAAATTAATAGATTGATTTTGATACTTTATTATAATTGAAATTTCTTTTCACTGTTTATTTAATTAATTTATTTATTTTATATTTAATAAAATTTGTTCTTTTTTATTATTGTTCATACAAGTATTATTTGTTTTATATATATATATATATATAAATTAAAAATTATTGCGTAAAAAATTTTATTATATTATTATATTATATATTATAATAACAAAAATTAAGATACAAAAATTAGTTCGAGTTACTTAAAATATTCTAAATCTAATAAAATAAGCAGAAAGATTAATAAACATTTTGTTATTTAAAAAAAAATGTTTTATTTATCTTTGATCATCTTTCTGAAGTTTATTGAACGCAAAGATGACCTTATTTTGATATAATACATTGATAACAAAACTAGGCTGCGTGAAAATAGAAATCTACATTAATACATATAGATTACTCGATAATTTCAACGTTTTGTTAAGAAAATAATGTAATCTGCAATATAGAAATGTTTCAATATTTATATAATACAATATTTTAATATCTTATAATAAATTAATAAAAAGAATAAACCTACAATTTATCCCTTTCTTATCAGTTGAACATTAATAATTATAAATTTCTTAAAAATGATAAATATTATAAAGATCAATTTTTTTGTATATTGCAAATTCACATAATTGTTATTTTTTTAATAATATCATAGTTTGTTTTATTGATTGGCTATTATTATTGTCTTATTTCTTTTTTTTCAGAAGATGAAGGATCCGTTTATTCGGTCGGAAGTCAGAATAATCTGGTGCCGATAAGATCCAGGAAAACTTTGTAAGTAAAAGAGCGGAATTGATGATTTTCTAACGATGTTAGTTAAATTGCTTTATTAAATCAAGAATACGCATTTATTCGCAAATAAATCAATCCGGGTTTTTGTTAACCAGTTCTGTTTTGTATTTGTAGCTTCAAGAAGCGAACTCAGATTTCCAATCTATTGGTGATAATTCTTTGCTTCCTTGCGGGTTCCTTGCTTATAACTGTTGTGATGCTTGCGGTACTTTGTAAGTTTTTTCTTTAAAATATTTTGTCCATCTTATAGATTAAATCATATTAAAAATGTATCTATTAAATAATTATAATAATAATTAAAAATAATTTAATTAATATAATCAAAAAATAATAGAAATATAAAAAAATAACATGATATATTATTAGAAGAATATTATTATTTATTTGCTTTCTAATTTAGAAACAATATATAATTTATCTCGAATAAGAATACTATTCAATACATTATAAAACGTTAATATATTTTAAAAAATTATGCATACGAATTACAATTAAAGATATTTGACATTTATTAAATTCCTTTGTGTTTGTCGTCTTATGTCTCACTATTGTAACTAAGTTCTTCAACTATAAACTAATCTTATTAAAAATGAAATAGGTATAACTTTCAATACCGGGTATGCTAACCGGAAATGTTCTTTATTTGAAAAGAAATAACTCAACTCTTATAATACTTTGATATATCTCCTTTACTTCCTTACAATTACATTAGACATCCTTGACAAATTATTGGGAAACCATTTAGCATCTTCGATCGCCATTGACATTGTGTAAATATTTTAGCGAACATGACTATGGATCGTGCAGCATATCACGTGTGTTGTTTTACAGAATATCCTTTTGTTGTGTGTCTATCGTCATTATTATGCGACAATTCGCGACATTCCACGTGGCAATCATTTCTATAATTAATTTACATCATGCAAAATATTTCTTAAAATATCCGAATATTCCTTTAGTCATAATTTTCTTGATAAAATGAAAGTAATTTCTCTATAACAAAAATATCACTTTTTTTGAATAATTAAATAAATTGCAAGTAAATGTTGAATTAATATATTTTAATTAATTTAAAAACATTTCTTAAATATATTTTTAACTTAAATTTTAATTTCAAAAATATGCGAATACGTGTAAATTATATAAAAATATGTAATAAATATAAAAAAATTTGAAAAAATGAGAAATTAAAAAAACTTAAAAAACGATTAACATGTTTAGAATACTTTATTTATTACGTTATTGTTGTAGATGCACGTAGCGGTATGATGATGAAGATATGCGATAATGAAAATTGCGTGCGAGTAGGTAAGTATACAGTTATTATACTAATGAGATAATTATATATACTTGTATTATTATATTTACACGGCAAACGTTACGCAAAATAAAAAAGGAAATGTGTGACAACTATTATGCGAGAAGCAATTACTCATTCTTTATTCTAATTTAACTTCTTTATTTATAACCTAGCGGCTAGTTTGAAGGAATCTATGGACAAATCTGTAGATCCTTGTGATGATTTTTATCAGTGAGTAAATTTATTGTCGTGCTATTATCGTGATATACTAAATGCTATGATATGCACCTTGCGAAATTATATAATTTCTCGTATAATTTCTCTATCACTTTGTGTAATTTCTCTATCGCTAAATCTATTATTTCTGCATTACGTAAATGCAACTGCACTCAGGTGTTTTACTTTCACTCGTTTGTGTGAAATACCGTCTCGGGAATTAACGTTATTTCACCGGCGAATATAGCAATTAACGGTGATAATTGTTATTATTATTAATTCATTTGAGTAATTTATTTTACATTTGTTTTAGTTTTGCGATATGTAAAATTTTTCTCTTTCTTGTCTAGATACGCATGTGGCAGATGGGCGCAGGAGCATCCTATTCCGGATTTCAGCATGACGAATTCTTGGTTCAGCGAACGCGCTCATCGCGTGTTAAGAAAGATCCGAGAAGAGCTAAAAGTCAACATGTCTGCCAGCGAAGTACCCTGGGCAGTGATGCAGGCTAAGACACTGTTCACCAGCTGCATGGACGTGCGTACGTTGCCGTTTTTTGTTTAATTAGGTAGATGTCAGTCAAAGAATTAAATGTTATAACCAGAAATATAAAAGTAAAATATATTATACGTAATATATATTATACATAATATATATATTATACATAAACAAAAGTATACGTATGCAAAATTGATAATTATTTTTAAATGTTTCTATAAAGAGATAAATTTCAGATACCATAAATGAACTCAATTTGTCTCCAATGTTCGATTTACTGGAGTTATTAAATATACCCTTATTTCCTGGAATCCATAATAAAACTAATTACATCGAACAAATCGCCAGGATAAAAAGAATTCTGGGCTATGATGTTTTCTTTGGTTTCGATGTCATGTCCGATCCAAAGAATAATAGCAGGAACGTGCTCTACTTGCATCTTCCAGATCATTCCAATCCTTTTCCTTTTATGTATGTACATTTTATTCTATATATTCTATATATAGATATATATATATATATAATTTTAAATTATTATACATATTTATTATTAATTATAAATTCATATATATATATATAATAATATTAATAATAATAGCAATAAAGAATTGGAGAAGCGATTAAAAACCATCAGATCACGATTGCGAAAACTGGACGATTTAGGGGAAGCCACATCGAGCGAGAACGAAGATGCCGAACTTACATACATGACTGATGTTATCATGCAAGTTGTTAATAATGATACTTTTGATACATGTACCTCAGAGGATACAATAACCAAAGAGGATATGGAAGGATTTGCTTTGGCCCTTTTTAATATTAGCAACTCCTTGTATAATGTAAGTATATTTTAAATTGATCGGTATTGACTAAATTGATCGGTATTAACTAAATCAATGTTTTAAATTAATTCGCAGACAAAATTATTAAAATAAAAATCTATTTTTTATACTCCATCATATCTCTTGTAAAACTTTATTGTAAATCTTGAATTTTGGCAAATATTATTTAATTAAGAGAATAAAAATTGTTTTTTTTTGTAGATAGCTAGTAAAAATCAAAATTATAGTATTTCCATAGAAGACTTGAGCGACAATGATTATATGTTCGTGGACGATCTGCAAAAATTGACTGATGAATATGCGATAGATCATTCAAATGTATCTGACATTGATCTTAAACCAATTTGGCGTCCTTTTATTGAATCCATTTTTGAGGGAATCATTACGTTGGATCTTGATAAAAAAGATAAAATTCTTATCGGTAATCTAGAATACTTAAAAGAAATTGCATTGACATTGGCTACTTACGATGATATACTTTTGGGTATGTATTCCTTATTTATTGACATATTAACTAATTTATTTAATTAATTAAATTGTTTGTAAATAATCAAATTTACCACCTAATTTAAAAAAAGAGCTTTTTCAAAATTCAATTTCAATCCAGAAAGCTACACTTGGTGGGTCGTCGTGGATATGGTGGTACCACATTCTTCCGAAAAACTCAGGCACATTTGGTATGAGTATGTGAATAAATTAACAGACGTAGAAAGTGGTGTATCCCAGTCGTTAATCTGTGCATCAGTTGTCAATGAATTGATGGGTATGCATATAACTGATCTTTAAATCTATAATCATTTTTTATAAATAATATATTTAATAAATATTAGGAGTATAAATTAATTTCTTGCTTTTTTTGATGATTTCATCGATCGCCAAGTTTCTATCGCAGTGAAATTCATCAGCTGCCCAATAAATTGATCAAGTTCATCAAAAATGATAGAGACTATTTTATTGATTAAAATCTCTCTTGTACTTTTTTTATAAATAAATTTTGAATTTTATAAAAAAAGAAACAAGAAATTAATTTGTACATCTAATATATTTTAAAAATCTTTAAATTTTGTATAATTTACTTTTAATAAATATATTTTTATGATATATTTTGGAAGGATTTTTTTCAATTAATGATATCTATCACTTTTCAGGAATGGCAGTATCAAGGTTATTCGTAGACCCAACATTTCATTCTAGTGAAGGTAATAAAGTATTAGAAATGCTAGAAGACATAAGAGAAGCATTTGCTTCACTTGTCGTCCAAACTGATTGGATGGATCAATCGACGAAAATGGCAACACTCGAAAAAAGTCAGAAAATGGGCTCCGAAATTGGATTTCCCAAATGGATCTTTGACAATAAGATACTCAACGAGTATTATGAAGGTGTAAGTTTAAGTAAAGAATTGATATAATAATTATAAAATAATTTTTCTATAATAATAAGGGAAAAACTTGTGTTTTTTGTGAAAAATCTGTACTTAAAGTTTCTCATCTAGTTATATCAATATATATCAA